CGGCGCCAACCCGTTTCAGACCAATTCTTGTCTCTTGCCCTCTTCAACAACTACTGGAGAACGAGCTGGCGTCACGCCGAATTCAGCCTCTCCCCCTCATAATACTCCTCAGCTTCCGCTGCTAATAAGACTCTAGTTACTGTCATTCTCCAGTTCACGAATGTCCCTTCAGGAATCATCAGCAATCACGTCTGTATAGGTCAAAAATTATGAATAATTTATTGTACACGTTCAATTAATGGATAATGTAAAACGACTAAATTTTGGTACTTCCCATCACAGCACTTGTTTGGCGTTGAGCTGAAAGGATCGAGTGTGATTGAGTGGTAATGAAGGAAGGATATGGGAAAGGAGAGGATTACGACTGACCACACCAAGCACGTTGCCCTTGTTGAACTGAACGATGTTCTCGGCGATCTCCGTTGCCACTCTCAACTGTGCGTCATTGTTGAAGCACCCAGATGAGGTGTACAAATTGCCTTTGGATGCTCTACTAGGCCACGATACTTAGGAGGTTCCTGTAATAGTATTTAACATTAGACTTATTCCACCAAGGGAATCCTCTCATTCACTTTCTTTGCTTTGCTCTGAAGGAGTGTTCACGCAGATTTAATCCTACGCAAAGAAACCTACAGACGAGCGTCAGACTTTGCGATGGCAGTCGCGCGTTCAACGCGATCGATGCAGTAGAAAGCATGCGCATTGATCGCGCCGAACGCGCGACTGAAACGCTGTCCGTCGCGTCTGAACGCTGCCTAAGGTGTTGAAAAGTAAGATGCTGGAAAAGAGTGAAGGTATTTCCCCACAGCGAATGAAGGGATTCCTGCAAAGAACAAGAAAAGGCAAAAAAGCAAGTATCAACGCCGTCGGGAGGCGTTGAAAATGGGGGGGGAGAAGAGTCGCTACTTTGGGTCGGAACACGGATCGCCTGTCGTCCTGCCCCACGCAGCCATTCTTTCCTCCAGGACTAAGACAGCGAATTGGTGCCAGAGTCGTCTTGAAGGATGAAACACTGAATCGTACATCTGGCCCTCTAAAGTTATTCAGTAGGTCATATCATATTTAAATGCCACCACGACTCCGAATTGAAGTACAACGTGTAGCGCATCCCAAACAGAAGTAATTCGTCCTTCCGATGGGCTCTCGCCGTTAACCAAAGGATTGACTACCGGCGAAGACTCTGCTCCTGTTTTCCAGTTCTTTGGGGAATTTTACCAGACGTAATATGTTTGAAGGTTGCGCAAAGCAATCAATAAAGCAAGAAAAAAGAAAAAAATGGTCCTAACTTAAGATTATTAGAACATCAGCATCCCATTTCATGCACTGCAAGCGCAATTACACCGTAGTGAAAATTAAGTCAATACACTTGAACCCCGTTTATACTTGAAACGTTAACTCACTTCCACGAATACGTCAAACGCGGCTCCTCCTGCTTGACCAGAATTCAGTGCTTCCACCAGGTCCTCCTCGTTCACAATTCCTCCTCGTGCTACGTTGATAATCTTCACTCCCTTCTTACACTTTGCAAGGGCTAGAATAACGCAGTTATTTTCTTTCAAATATTGATCTTCTCTCCCCCTTACTTTTGGCATTGATGAGATTTTCTGTCTCAGGTATTAGTGGCACGTGCACAGTGATGAAGTCTGCTTGAGGCCAGACTTCTTCTAATGGAAGCAGCTCGATGTTTTTCGCTGCTGCTGCCTGCAAAGAAAAATTTCGTCTCTGGGCTACATCATTGAGACAGGAGTAACAGGACCTCTTTTGATGCCATGGGGTCGTATCCGATTACTCGCATACCAAAGGCTTGAAGGCGGGTGGCCACCTCCGTTCCAATTCTGCCCAAACCCAACACTGCCAACGTTCGGCCGAAAATCTGAAATCAACCATCATCACCATCAACTGTTCATCAGCATAGTGGAGGTGTAAGGGAGGGATGTAATGTATTCCTATTTTGTCAAACACCGCCCTTCAAGTATTCTATGCTCTCACTCAAGTGTTAGGTCGCGTTCATACTTTGCGAGAAGCGCGATCTTGAGTAGCGTGGGCTAGAGAGACCATGTTCCACCGGCAGTCGCTAGTCGGCTACAATTCCCAATTCAAACTGTACAGCAGACTGGTCTGTTGATGCTTCGCCTTGTGCTTTTTTTTACTTTCCCTCAGACTTCCGTTAAAAGTACCGTGTGCTAATGTTGGTTAATTTACCCCCGAAATTCTGACAAGTAATGTACCAGTATTCTGGGCTCCGTCACGATGTTGGCCCAAATAAACTCAAAATCTTTAGGGTGCTTTAGGCGTGGCTTCGCTCTTGAATTGAACCTGGTGGCGGTCGTGGTTTCGCCAGATATTTTCATTCTAGGGCACATGTAATCGTCTTTATCCAACAAAGAACAAGACGACCGTTGTCTCAAATTGAAATACTTTACGAGCAAGCCATCCTATGCCATGTTCAAATGCCACGCCCACTCCGTCTCAGGGATAAGGGATGTACATGTGGTTTTAATGGGAAGATGAATTACTCGTAATTACACAGAAATGATAATTCCGTCGACCTTCGAGGTGATCCGATGGTGGAGGGGCATAGTCGCTGACGCCCATTGAATCACACCTGTCGCGAAGTATGAACTAGCGTGACCAAAATACTGAGTTGAGTCAAAAGGAAGTATCAAAGTAGAGTTGGAGAGTATCAAAAGGAAATGTCGGCATTGGACATCGATATTCAGGGTTTCGCAGAAATGATTTGAAACGGTTTCTTTTCCAGTTGTCTACTGAAACAACAGGCATTGCAAACCTCTTCTCCCATGAAGTCCTTTCTGGCCCATTTTCCAGCTTTCATGGAGGCATCAGCTTGAGGGACATGTCGAGTGAGACTGAGTATCATAATGCATGTGAGCTCGGCCGCAGATCGAGAATTCGCTTCTGAAACCTTATCGAACATTATGTGCTGCTTTTGATCGCTTATGAAACTCAAGCTAAGCCGCTATTGACCACTACTGTCGTGCAGTTAGAAAATTTGTCCGGCTATAAGGGAAGGAATCTGGTAGTTTCCAACCATGCATTTTCTCCTTCTTCTCAGGCATCACGCAGAACTAATATTGGCTGATTGACCCTCAAAAACTGTCATAATATGTGTCAGCGCCATGGGGTTCATCACGATTTCGCCCCGATTGCATGAGAATTTAGTGTATTGATGACATACTCGTAAATGGCCTGAGCAGGAGTCCTGTCGCGCAATCTCGCTCCTTTTACGCCGACTGAAATCGCAGAAGCGAGGGTCAGTAGCTACACACCTCTTCGAATTCAGGTGATGCCAACGCTATAACCCAATCAAATTGAATCAAAGCACAGATTATCTGCGACATTTGTGCGCTAGAAAGATCCCGAGATGGAGAAGGCATTGGTCAGTGGGCTGAAAATCCGCATAACAATACTGAATTTTCAGGGTCTGATCCCGCTCAAGCCTGTGGCAGTGCAGCACCGTTGTGCGAGCCCCCAGGAGGTCGTATTTAGGCTCGA